CTCCAGATCACAGTGGAATGTCAACTATGTCACAGGGGGCGGGGCCTCTGTCAATCAAGCCGACCTGGAATGTGGAAATCTGACCCACTTCTTACGAGGGGGCGCCAGGTTAGCATCTTGTAAACAGGTTTACCTTCTATATTATTGCTGTTATTACTATACAAAAAGCTAAAAATATTACTAATACTATATTATTTCAGTTGTAATAAATTCCCAATAAAGTTTCAATTTTTAGTGAAAATATTTGCCTGAGAAGTCATCCTCACATGGTATGCCTACACCCCTCTGAAAGTTTCATCCGCGCCATTGGAATACGGGAGTCCTGACGACGCGATTTGGGATTGAATTTGCAGTGAGTAAATCGATTTATTTTGTTTATTAGTGGTTGAACATCTTTATTTTGTTGTACTTGTGGCGGCCAACTTGCTAGAAGTTGTTAATTTAGTCCCTGATTGGGTTTATTTGTGAATTTTAGGCGCGACGTCTGCTATTTAAGATCAACATGGCGGAGCGCTGGAGAAACGAGAGCCAGAGCATTCTATTTACCGTGGATTTGTACTTCTCCTCTTGCAAGTACTAATGCTTTTATTGTCTGGTTTTACCTGAACTAAAATGTTCATTTGTTGTGACTGAATAAATTACATCTAAAGATAATTGATTTCTGATATCTAGTTAAAAAAGATATAATTGAACGGGGACAAGAGAGAGGGGTAAGAGATGTGAGGGTTTGCGCAAAGAGATCCCGCATTTCTTGCAGTGCGACCTACCCAAACTTATCTCGTATCTGTGCTTGGAATGTGATGCAGGTGGTGGCAGCAACTTGGCAGAATAAAGAAACAACAACAGGGAACCAGCAACCGCGGAAAGTAGGACATCGGGATGTCCTTACATTCATTGAAGAGACCTGATACACACACATTTTATGGCGTTATTTCATGATTTATTTTCGCTGTAACTCGTTCTTCTCTTTCAAGTTGTTGCTTTTAACTCATTCTGCGCTAACACACCTAGGCTAGTTCTCTCTGCTCCATGCACTAGGTAAGACCTAGAGTGTCATAGTGGTTCGTTCGTTGAACGTTGGCTTTAATCTAGACATTGGTGACACTTTAGTCCACACGTCTTTTTCTTCTTCTTCTTCTTCTTCTTCTTCTTCTTCTTCTTCTTCTTCTTCTTCTTCTTCTTCTTCTTCTTCTTCTTCTTCTTCTTCTTCTTCTTCTTCTTCGTCACCTTTTTCTTCCATTTACCTCATCAAGATGTTGTAGGGATGTGAGGATCTTCTCTCTGCTCTTTCCAATATATTGCCTAAGTTGGCGTGCATTTTAAAGGCTCTTCTTGAAGCTATCATTCCATTTTCCCAGTCATTGGAAGCTGTCATTCCATTTTCCCCGTCATTGGAAGCTATCATTCCATTTTTCCCGTCATTCCATTTTCCCCGCTGTATTACCCTTGCTCGATGACCATTATAATTCTTCAGTATGACACTGCGTGGCACTTGGTGCTAGGGTATTCTCGTCACATGGCTAAACCATCTCATATTCTAATTTCCACAATAGAAGTAAAAAAAAAAAAATTATGTTTGAAGCCTATAGGATTAACACCCCAGGAATGAGAATCAAACAGCTACAAATCCTGGAAACCCCGTTCCGTCATATAGTCATATAAAGACAAGAAGTAAAGATCCACTTTTACGCCTTTAGGCCCATCGGGCATATGAGAAGAGCACCCATATTTAGCAGACCAGTCGGTACTAGGTGGGTAATGTGGTCAGCATTACGCCGGCCGTCTTTACTTCCTCAAAACATACATCCTGGTACCCATTTTAGGCTGGGTCGACCCGCGACGCCCCGTGCCATAATAAAAATCCACGCAGCCAGCAGTGGGTTTCGATCGCGGTACGTTGGAATTACGAGTCGGACTCGCAACGCCTTAGCCACGGACGCCGCATATAGTCATATAGCACAGTTATATTGGGACACCACAAAAACGCTGCGGGATAACCTGTAGTACAGTGTAGGTCTTTAATATAGTCACCCTACATCAGTATAGCTGCGGGATCGACCCAGCCTCATACTCTAGGTATTGGGTAGTTTCAGAGATTTATTTCTTTACAGAAATATAGTGAAGAAGGAGACTAGTTACATCAACTTCTGTATGTCCTGGCCCACAACACACAACTTCATTGTCTGGTTTGTGTATATCTTTGCCTTTGCTATGAATTTTAATGTTCTTAAACAAGCACAGACACACAGACACAAACATACACACACAATCAACTTCCTCCTTCTACCTGATTTCTCATAGGGATGGATAGTTTCCATTTCCGTGTTAGATTTAAATCGCTGGCTATTTCCATTCGTGTTTAAATGTATACATTTTATTTTTAATTTCCAATTAGTCGTCTAGAGTAGCGGCATGTCTTACTTGATGTTACAGAACCAAACGCAGCATGTTTTCCCCGCTTGTGATTTTCCCGACGCAATTCTTACGTCCAGTAGTTTGCCGTTGTTTGTGCCATTGCACCTGCACGGTCGACACCTCTGTCGAAAACAACGCAAGGCGAGGGGTTCTGCTGCCAGATCATCCGCAACTGGGATCTAATCCGGCACCTCGGTGTTGTCAAGCACGTTCGCAACGCCTAGGCCACAGACGTCAAGCATTCCATTGGGAATATATAATGTGTGTATGTGTGTGTAGGGGGAGTGTGCGTGTGTGTGTTTGTGAGAGAGAGTAACACAAATCGTTATCTTCTGCTATTTATCCACCACTGGAGGATGGTTCTTGTTCTGCCATTTATCCACCACTGGAGGATGGTTCTTGTTCTGCCATTTATCCACCACTGGAGGATGGTTCTTGTTCTGTCATTTATCCACCACTGGAGGATGATTCTTGTTCTGCCATTTATCCACCACTGGAGGATGGTTCTTGTTCTGCCATTTATCCACCACTGGAGCATGGTTCTTGTTCTGCCATTTATCCACCACTGGAGCTTGGTTCTTGTTCCACAGTTTATCCACCACTGGAGCTTGGTTCTTGTTCCGCAATTTATCCACCACTGGAGGATGGTTCTTGTTCTGCCATTTATCCACCACTGGTTCTTGTTCTGCCATTAATCCACCACTGGTTCTAGTTCTGCCATTTATCAAACACTGGAGCATGGTTCTTGTTCTGCCATTTATCCACCTCTGGAGGATGGTTCTTGTTCTGCCGTTAATCCACCACTGGTTCTTGTTCTGCCATTAATCCACCACTGGTTCTTGTTCTGCCATTAATCCACCACTAGTTCTTGTTCTGCCATTTATACACCAATTGGAGCATGGTTATTGTTCTGCCATTTATCCACCACTGGAGCATGGTTCTTGTTCTGCCATTTATCCACCACTGGAGCATGGTTCTTGTTCTGCCATTTATCCACCACCGGAGAATGGTTCTTTTTCTGCTATTTATCCACCACTGGTTCTTGTTCTGTCATTTATCCACCACTGAAGCATGGTTCCTGTTTTGCCATTTATCCACCACTGAAGCATGGTTCTTGTTCTGCCATTTATCCACCACAGGAGGATGGTTCTTTTTCTGCCATTTATCCAACACTGGTTCTTGTTCTGCCATTTATCCACCACTGGAGCATGGTTCTTGTTCTGCCATTTATCCACCACTGGAGCATGGTTCTTGTTCTGCCCATTTATTCACCACAGGAGCATGGTTCTTGTTCTGCCATTTATCCACCATCGGAGAATGGTTCTTTTTCTGCTATTTATCCACCACTGGTTCTTGTTCTGTCATTTATCCACCACTGAAGCATAGTTCTTGTTCTGCCATTTATCCACCACTGAAGCATAGTTTTTGTTCTGCCATTTATCCACCACTGAAGCATAGTTCTTGTTCTGTCATTTATCCACCACTGAAGCATGGTTCTTGTTCTGCCATTTATCCACCACTGAAGCATGGTTCTTGTTCTGCCATTTATCCACCACTGAAGCATAGTTCTTGTTTTGCCATTTATCCACCACTGATGCATGAGTCCCCAACATAGACCAAGAATAATATAAACACAGACATCCTACAAGATCTGAATATCAAGGAGAATTAGCCCATAAGCAGCAGCATGCTGTCCCGGAAGCTGGGATAGTTTGGTCATGCTAAACATCATGGTGGCCTGGAGAGAATGGTGTGACGGAGGGTACAGTTTCATGAAAAGGAAGCAGAAGCAGACCTCTGCGAATTTGGATACAGAACATTTAAACGTATCAAACTGCTTGAGGATCGTCCCATTTACTTTCTTGTTGCATTTTGGAGGGTCTGTTTTCTTTGGGTTCTTTTATTTTATTCCACCCCTCCTTGGGGGCATCGAGATTTCGTATGGACTTCATACGGGAAAGTTCAATATAGGGGGAAAAGGGGGGGGGGGGCTATGATTAGTGTTAGTCAGTGTTCATTTCGCACCTTAACTACCCATACTACTGGACTTTCCCGGTGAATTCCCTACGAAATCTCAGAGTTCAGAGATAGGGTAAAATAAAATAAAAGAACCTAGATCTTTAGTTGTAGTGTACGCATTTCACTGGAACCGTATTAATATGTGGTTTATATTTGATTTTACTCCTTTCAGGCTTCCACAAGCTAACAGTTTTGCCACCGAGACAACAGATTCGCCACCAGTGGATTACCATATAAGCATGGAATAAATACCCGGATATCACTTGTTTCATTTCGAGAGAGAATCGCCACATTCTCCTGGACTCCCTGATTCCAAAGCCGCGGTAGTCACATAGCGCAGCACATAGGATGTGTGAAAGTTTATACCATCAACAAAGTTGATATCATCAACAAAGTTGATGGTAAACTTCATCTCCTTCAGGCGTTCTTAATTTTTTAAGAAGAAAAAATACGAAAAAAAAAATTATTTACCAAATGAGTCTTAATTCGCACCAACCTGAGGAATATCAGATGCAGTCAAGTCTTTCTTTATTTGGTGATTTTCGGTTCGTGGAAATCATTGTCACATGATCCGGAAGGAGAACGAACGGCAAACAGCGGGCGGTAGAAGGCCTTTGCTTGTGACGTTTGTCGGGAATAACCGACAGATGTTGAATGAAATCCGCGACAGCTTAAGCCATCTTCGTAAAAATGACCTGGAGGGCTACAGCGACTTTTCCAACGTGCAGCTCAAGCCGGAGTTTTGTCAGATTGGTTCCGGCCTGGGTGGTGGCAACAAGGTGACCCGACGAGATAATCAACACCACAAAGCCTTGGCGGAGATTCGCGACAGTCTGCGGCCATACCAGAACTCAATCAACGGGTCCAGCAGTGGGGCTAGTGGAGGCAGCAGTGGTGGGGGCAGCAGCGACAACAGCAGTACTACCAGCTGTGCCAGCTCTCCGGCCGCCAGCGATGCAGAGAGCAGCATGAACAAAGTGCAGAACATCATGCAGTACGGATTTGATGAGGTAGTTTGTGTGTATTCGTCGTTGGTTCTTGTGTCTAATATTATTCTCTCGTCATTTAGAATAAACAGACAACGTATAATACTTTAAATACTTGGGAAGTATCTTTACATTCAATGGTAAAATAGACAGAGAGATCGAAGCAAGAATCCAACAAGCCAACAATGTCGCATACCAGCTTGCCCCAATTTTAAAACACCCTGCTGTCCCAGTTGAGATAAAAAGACAAATTATAAATACAATCTTTATACCGACATTAGGTTATCAATGTCAGACTTGGACTTTAACAAAAGAACACGAGAGAAGACTAACCACCTGTGAAATGAGATGTTTAAGAATGGCTGCGAATAAAACCAGAAGAGATCGAGTGAGAAACGATGTGATTACAAGAACTATTGGAACCATACCCATCGTTAAATTTAATGAGAAGCAAAGAATGAAATGGTTTGGTCACCTAATGAGAATGGAACCAACGATGCCAGCATCAAGAGCATACAACATGAAAATCGAAACACCAAGAGGCAGGGGAAGACCAAGAAGAAGATGGATTGAAGGAGTCACGGACAACTTGAGACTTCATAACATCACGGCATATGAAGCGACTGAGCGCGCCCTGGCTCGGTTGCCGATCATCTGATAGACTGCGACGCCCAGCGGCACAAGCAGATTTTGACAAAAGAAAGAAGAAGAAAGAAGACAATGTATTGATCGGCATGCGCGATTCTACGAGAATGGTCAACTGATATTTTTTTTTCAGGTGGCGCCCGCTTGATTATATAGTAAGGCCCTTCCGCCACCCCCCCCCCCTCCCAATATAACAACACGTGACCCCAAAATAATAAATCCCAAGTACTCTTAACAGTAACTTGAAGAAAAATCATGCACGTAATTCAAAGTGTCAAATAACAAAGAAACGATCCCCAAAAACTGGCAAATTACTGTCCAAATATCAATATGATGGTTGACACTGTTTTGTCATAATGATATCTGATGTTTATGGTCTGATTTTTTACAAGGCACAGCGGAGATCACTCTCCACACCAAGCTGGCAAAGCTATTTTGTTTTCTTGACTGTTGAAGCTGGAAATCCCGATTATTACAAGTACAGTGCACTCAATTTCAAAATTGCTAGAAGTCCCCCCGCCTCCCGCCCGTTCTTCTTCGTTCACCGGCTGTAAGCTTCCGGGAAACGGTCCTGGTTGGACTTTGGCTGTTTGCTAGAATTCTGTATTCGATCTTTTCCATGAAATACGATCCAGTCCAGTCTACTGTAAAAGCTATTGTTCTGCCAAGTAAAAACACCCAAGTAAGGTAAAGTTTGAGGTTTGAACAACGGACCAACGTCATGGCACACGGGCGTCCGATCTCACTACCCAGAGTCCGGGGAGAATTACTAGAAGTCCATGTGAAAAAAAATCCCAGCCCTTACCAGGGGTACCCGGCACTTCTAGCACTCGAGGCGGACACCATGCCTCGAGACCCCGCAGGCCCCTACCCGTAAGGTAATTAACTTTCAAGCCGTGTAACTGACGCCTTCAAGTCAGCAGACAGATTTCCTCATGGACAAAAACCGCCACGCGTCGGTTCTTAAGAAAACAGACGGTGACAACCTAACACGTCGACACTGTCTGATGTTATTATCACAGCCCCCAGAGATTCGACGACTGCTGATGTGTTAGTCATCATACAAACATTTCAGTTATCTGCGGTTTTTCAAGCTCTACTGTCCCCATTTCTTGATAAGCATGCATCCTGCACGGGGTCTACCCCTAGAGAGTTCTAAATTTAGAACGCTTCGGTAATAATGGCAAAGCAAATATACTATAGAGTTATTCAAAACTCGTGCCGTCACCAAAAAAAAAAAAAAAACATCTCGAAAACTCCTGTATAGAGGAACACAAAATTTTGCATGTGGCCTGAGATTTCCCATGTCCTTGTGATTTTATAATTTATAATTGCACAGTTTCTGCTGCTTTCTTAAAGCGGCGAATCTCTTTGATCTTCGTTTGACTAATAATTTATGTACCGCTAAAAAAAGAATATACTGTAATTTACATGCAAGTTTAGTTTGTTTGGAAATCAGTTCGCATGTGCAGCGATGCATGGTGATTATTTTGGTAACCTTTCCCGCATACACGGGAAAAAATCCACAATTCACGGGTGACTAATCTTGGAGATTACAACATGAGAGTAACACGTCTTTGAAACATGTGCAGTTTTATGCTTTTAAAAGTTTTCGTTACCCAGTAACGCATGGCATGCTGACTGTCTGTTGTGAAATGGTGCCTGGTTACTTTTTGTTCATATAATCAAATTAGGACAAATAAAAACAAGATGCTCTTTTACCTAAACAAAAATTCTTACAAGGACATGATTATTAACAGGTTGTATGCCTAATTTAAATAACTTCACAAAACGGTTACTGAGTTACAGATTTTAAAGCTGCGCACGATTTCTGAACGGGACTAGAGTTCTGTTGTTTGACTCTAAAGATAGTTCGTCTGCTGCGGGAAAATATCAGCGGATTACGGGGTCCCATTTGGTGGGGGTGGGGAGGTGGGGGGACAACAGACCCACTACTCCCTTAGCATACTGCAAAGGGTGACTAATTAAGGATATTGCTGAAATCCGATTTGTTGAGCTGACAGGCACAGCTATCATAGCCTAGCTGTAAACCACAACACAGCCTGCCCATCGCTCTGTTAAAAACAAACACAGAAGAAGAAGAAGAAGAAGAAGAAGAAGAAGAAGAAGAAGAAGAAGAAGAAGAAGAAGAAGAAGAAGAAACCCTTTATCATCATAAAGGAGGTCCTTTTCAGAACATCACTGTCAGTGGCGAAGTGGTCAAACCGATTACCTGGCGCTCTGAAGACGTTGGTTCGTTTCATGACTGCGTCGTTGGGTCCACTAGTGCAATTTTTACGGAGATCCCTTGGGAGCGTCGCCGGAGCTACGGAATCTGCTTTGCGTGACGCTCTCAGCAGGCGGCTAGCCGCCCTGTGGAGAGAGACTATCAGGGATTTAGGCAGCGGAGATGTTAAAAAGAAACCCTAAAACGAACGTTGCTGAGAGAGGCCAAAGCTGCTGGACAGGAATTGCATCCAATCGAAGAGATTGCACGGGTAGAACGAAATGGAGAAATAAGGTCCTTGTTTGAAATGAGGGCTCGCAGTGGGAAAAGGGGGGGGGGGGGGTGAAATGACCTGAGCTGTTGTTTCCGTCTGTCATGATCTGTGCATAATAACGCCATTCCTGTACTGTGACTTCTCACCTCTGAGCTGGTTTCGTTTACAGTAAAACATTTACCGACAGAAAGACATGTGGTTTCCGGTCGCAGATCATTAATCCTGCCTCCGTGGAATGTATTGTTCCTTCGTCGGTTACGGCCTGCGGGAAAGTCACTGGCGTGGAATATGTATGGGAACGATAAGTACTGCACCGACTTTCTTCTCCGAGGTTACCTGGTGCAGGGTGGACTTGTGGTAGTAGGTGACCCGGTGCGGGGTGAAATTTTGTTTTAGTAGGTGACCCGGTGCAGGGTGAATTTGTTGTAGTGGGTGACCCGGTGCGGGGTGAATTTGTTGCAGTGGGTGACCCGGTGCAGGGTGAATTTGTTTTTACCTAGTAAGGCTTTAGAAATTTGTTGTATAATCTATTTTAGAAGTCGTGCCCATCTTTAAAAATCTGTAACTCAGTAACTGTTCGGTTTAGTTGTTGAAATTTACAATGTAACCAGTTATAATAATCATGTCATTGAAAGAATATTGTTTTTAAAATGTAAACAAACATCTTATTTTTATTTTGCCTTGTTTGCGGTATATAGAGGGGGGGGGGGGGGAAACAGCCCCGATTCACAGCAAACAGACAGCATGCTTACGGTTAACTGAGGAAGGGGAATTTTCCAAAGCGTACAGTTGCACTTGTTTCGTATGCGTTTCACTCGCAGATAGTCATCTCCAAAAATAGTGAAAATATAAGGGGGGGGGGGGGGGGTGACTGCAGTCAAGGAATTCCAGAGAAATTGGAATAAAAAGCTCAACAAAATGAGGAAGCAGAAAAACGTGCACAAAACAACACAATTAACGTAACGTTCGTTTCGGCCGGGCAGCCATTGTCAAACTATGCAAAAATAACAACGAGGAGAGTATACAGATCTCTAAGGGGTGACGTAAGCAACGTTTTTTTTTTTTTAAATGTGATGTGGAATAAATAAAATAAAATAAACGATGGCTAAAAAATATAGTCGCAAAAAATAAAAAGTAATATTTTAAATATATAATATAAAAGTGGGAATAAACGATATACCAATGTTTATGACCCATAAATGATATTGATAAGAGTTTGAAATAAAAGAAAATAAAATAATTAACATTTAAAATGTGAAAAAGAGTAAAACTATTTAGATGAAGGTATGTTGGATATTGATACCATCTGGACTAAGAACGCCAAGGCTGTGGATGAGGCGATTTTCCGAAGCGAGGCGCGTAGTATGATCGCCAGAGCAAGATTTTAATGCTTTGACAGATATATCTTCTTTACCTCTTTGGTCAGAGCTGTTAAAATGGAGAGGAATTGGTTTGTCTTCTTGTCAATATCGGAGAGGTGTTCCCGGAAACGATCAGCTAGCATTACGTGAACACAGATTTTCATTGTATGTTGGATAGCCTATCAAAATAGCCACTACGTATTGCTGCACACGTGACTGGATTTCCAAACAAGATATAAAGCTGAATGTTACCAACTTAAGGGAATTAGAATCGTAGATAGAAAGACATACATACCGATAAATAGACGCACAGACATACTTATGTGCAGACAGAGAGGTAGAGATGTAGATAGATAGATAGATATGTAGATAGGAGGTAAGAAAGTAGAAGGATAGTTATATAGGTAGGTGGATAGATAAATAGATGGATAGCAAGGTAGACAGACAGACAGACAGACAGACAGACAGACAGACAGACACCACAGAAATAGAAGACAACACAAGTATGCAAATGAAG